ATTAGTTCGGAGCCTCTTCATCGGGCCCGAGCGTTCATGGACTTCGTTGCGCTCGTCGGGAATTGGACCGAGGCGCTCCAAGATTGACCTCCTTCCTCGGGATGGTTCGGGAGGTTGAACTCGTTTTGAAGGCTGTAAAGGTCGATCCTCGGCCTGACTCACCACTTTGGACTTTGGCCTCCATATTTTGTGAGTTAGTGGTGATTTCTTGGCTACTCCATTCTGCCACCTTCTACGGGCTTCTTGAACTTGAGCTCGTGCTTGTGCTGAGAGTGCGCGGCGCTTCTGAATGCGATCCTCCAGCGTTGAACGGTTCCGTTTGACACGGATCCATTCGTTCGTTGGTGGCTTGGAGGAGTTGCCATTCATTGGTTGTTGAGGTCGTTCGCCTCTTCTGTTCTTCAGATCCGTGTTGTAACGGATCCCGTCCACAGATTCCATTGCCTTTGCGATTTGTTTCGCAAGGCGCTGACGTTGCCTTTGGCGGGCTCTCTTTGAGAGAGTCACTACGCCCTCGGCAACGGAAGATTCGGCCAGAGCAGATCTGACCTGGTTGGAAGGAGAGATCTCACCCGATGCAGCTTCGGCATCAAACGGGGCGAGATCTTCGTTGGCAGCTTCAACTTCTTCGTACCAACGAAGTTTTCTCTTGGAAGAGAGCTTTGGAGACTTGGACTTGCGAGGGGAGGTGGATTCGGACGAGGATGACAGATACTCCTCGAACTTTTGTTGGTCGAATTCGTACTCGACCTCCTCCTCGACCGGGATCGGGATCCGCGGCTGCGACGCGACAGCTTCGGCAGTAAAGCTGTTGGCTCCCACTGTGGTCGCCAGATTGTTCGCGGGAAAAATTATGTCTTTCTTCATTGTTGATATCATTGCTATCTCAGTTAACAACTTTATGCGTTACAAAGATCCGGTCTTTTTATAAGATCCGGTTACAATGAAAAATCAAAGAAAACAAAGTAAAGATTACAATTTTCCTTATTTGTCGAACTAATCGCGAGCTCCTGTTTTGCGGTCGCTCGCTTTGGTGGGTTCTTTGCCTGCGCCGGGGTTATTTGCCGTGGACCACCGCGTGATCTCGATCCGGTCGGATCTACACGATATGACGGGTAATATTCCACCAAGGGAATAATAGCCGGGAGGGATTGTTTCACCAAGGAAACAACCGCTCGAATCTCGGGATCTAAGAACCAAGCTTAGATCCGGAGTGTGATCGTGTAGATCTCAAATCCAATCCTCTCGAACTCCTGCCTTATTTGGCGTTGGTGATCGCCGAGCACCGGATCTGAAAGTCCAAGTCTCCAAGCCTTCAAAGTTGTGATCTTTTTTTAGATCTGAGTCTTCAATCCAGCAGGGCTTCGCCTCTCTCCAAAATTTCCAACCTCTGAAACAAATGAGCACAAGGCCTATTTATAGGCACTCAGAACTGTGCATTTGCACAGTTCTGAGCCTAGCCACCCATGGGTGGCTCGGCCTTGGAGGTGGCTCGGCCACCGAGCCACCTCAGGGTGGCTCGGCTTGGGCCGAGCCACCCTGGGGTGGTTCGGTTTCGGCCGAGTCCCCGGGTGTTTGTCCGTTTTGTCCTTTGTTTCCGGTTCTGGTTCTCTTGTGTGGTTGATTGACTTGGCAACGACTCTTTGACTTGATTCCAGATTTGGCAGTGAGTCGGGTTCCTGATATGGCAGTAAATCAACTTCTGAATTTGAGTCCGGAATTGATGTTGATTTGATCGTGATTCATCCGAGTTCGCTCTTGTTTAGATGACTCGGTGATTCACCTAAACATTGGTTTGATTCCGCGTGCGAGTGGATGCATTCCAATGCTTGGGTGCGATTTGTCGCCTCGTTAACCTGCTCCGTTGCGTATAGCTTGGCTTCAGCGTTGGCGAGCTAACGGTCTTGTTTGGATACGTCGCCCGGTGGTCCGTTTGTTAAATCGGCGTCGAGCTGTGCTAAGGGACCTATAGGCAATTTTATACGCCTACACACCTCCCAACACCAAAATCCGTGCCTTATATGCATGGGGAATTTTATCCTAAATCCTAAGTATGGATAAATCAACGCCTAACACGCATTGTCTGTTAGTCTTTTATTATAAAAAAGACAAAAGCCCATGTATTCAACATCGTGACAGACCGTTATTAATAATGCTAAAATTCGTACCTTACACACAGGGGAAATTTTATCCTGAATTCTAAGTAGGGATAAGTCAGCACCTAACACGCGTTGTCAGTTAGTCTTTTACCATAAACAGGATAAAAGCTCACGTATTCGATATCATGATAGGCCGTTATTAATAATGCTATAATCCATGCCTTATACGCATAAGGAATTTTATTTCGAACCCTAAGTAGAGGTAAGTCTACGCTTAACACGCGTTGCCGATTAGTCTTTTACCGTAAACAAGACAAAAGCTCACGTATTTGACATCGTGACAGGCCGTTATTAATAACGCCATAATTCATACCTTACACACATGAGGAATTTTATCTCGAACCATAAGTAGAGATAAGTCTACGCCTAACACGCGTTACCGGTTAGTCTATTTTCGTTAAATTGACAAAACCTATGCACCAAGTCTAAGAGAATTCATTCTTTTAGCATAATGTTACATGTAAAACTAGTTTAAATAATTTACATGCTAGCTCGATTCAAACGGTAGTCGGTAAAAGCTTATCAAATCCGTTGATGGTTGATGGTTTACCAAAAATCCTATTCACATTGTCGGGTAGCCTATTCTCGTAAAATGACGAAATCTACGTATTCGATATCATAGCATCAAGTCTAAAAGAGTTCATTCTTTTAGCATAACGTCAACAGCGGAACGAACTTAAACAATCCGCATGCTAGCCCGACTCAAAAGTAGTCGGTAAAGGCTCGTCAAACCCGTTTATGGCTGAGGGTTTGCCAAAAATCCTATAAGTAATATGGTTATTTATTCTAAACAGTATGAGTAATCATAATAAGGTACAAAAGTCACTGACACACCAACTTCACCAGTCGGTCTTGTGACTAGAACTCCCAGGAGTATACGAGTATAAACTGGTGCTCCCCGCTCCAACATCTTAAGAGCTTAAACTGTGTAGACTCCAATAGAGGTACGAGTATAAATTGTGTCAAACACTGATCAACGCGTGACGATGAAAGTATACACCGGTTAACGCATGACGATGAAAGTCAATACCGATCAACACATGACGATGAAAGTCAATGCCGGTCAACGTGTGATGATGAAAGTCGACATCGGTTAACGCATAATGATGAAAGTCAATGCCGGACAATGTGTGACGATGAAAGTCAACGTCGATCAACATGAGTCATTGTCGGTCAACGCGAGTCAATGCCGGTCGACGCGAGTCAACACCAGTAAATGCGTTGTAATGAAGGTCGACGCTGATCAATGCGTCGATAATTTCACCAAAATAAGGTTCAGGATTATTCTCAATTCTGAATTAATTCTAGGGAGCTCAATCGCGACTCAGATATAAACTCCCGATGAAGATAATTAGTTTAACGTCGATTCAACGACACGAGCTAATTCAGATTTTAACACGCCAGTCTTAGTTCAAGATTTTGACAATGGTCAGACGATAAACGTAACACCAAATTTTTTTTAGCTATTAGACAAAATACTGAATAGACTAAAAGCTGAAGAAGTCGATGAATTGAAGGTTGGGCGTATCATATCCAAAGTATTCTAGGATCCTCTATAAAAGAGTGAGACTGAAACACTTTGAAGAGGATATCTATAGGCGTCAAAAATTACCTATGGGTTCCGGCGCATAGCTTAAAATGAAGAGAAGGTGATGAATGCCATTATCTAAGTCAAACGGGATTATCCGTGTCGTAAAAGAGCTAACAAGTGCACGAAGCAAGTCAATAAAGCGTACGAGTCAACGAAACGACGAAATACGCAAAATGGTAGAACAAGACCAAACCGGAAAAGCCCCTGGCAGCCGAGTCGCATCAAAACGACTCAGCCAAGGCCAGGTGGCTCGGCTAAGGCCGAGCGACCCTAGAGTGGCTCGCGCCCAGAAATGACAAAAACGCGTTTTCGATAGTTTTTCTCAGGATCTGTTCGTTTCTGAGCCTCCCACCTACTTTGATATCATCTCTAAATATGGTTAAGCAGTTATTAATTGAGGATAAGGTCAAATCATCAATTCCTATCCTAAAATGCTACAACCGAAGCCTATAAATACAAACCTGATCCTATATGCAGGGGATCTAAAATTTAGGCGAGGTGCTATCCCTGTGAAGAGTGAATCATGAATTTTAGAGAGGCTAGCAGATCTTGGTGAAGTTCTTTAGCATAAAGAAGGAGAGTTCGAGAGATCTGAGGCTCATTCCTCTTTCCTCCGGATCAAACTTAATTTTGATCTCGAGAAGAATAGTAATCTCACTTGGTCAAGATTATTTACTTCTGCGAATACTTCCATTGTGAAATAAGAGCATTAAATTTTTATTCTGTTAACCGGATGTGATCCGTGGTGGTCCACGGACTAACGCATCTTCGGCACAGGCAAAGATCCCACGCAAGCAGCGGGTGATAAAACATCCTCCGCGTGTGTTTAAAGAGAGTTGTATTTTTTCTGTTTTATTTATGTAAGTTAGAATTCTTATAAAAAGACTAACTCTTTTGAATTCATTATAATCGATAAACATGTAATGGATTCGACAAATAAACCAACTTTCGACGTAAACAGCCTATGTCTCAGTTAGTCAGTTTCCTTTATTATTGAAACTAAACTACATTTCCAGCTTAATCATCCAAATAAACAATAAACAAGCAGATAAATCTCTCAAATCCAACACCAAAATCATCTATTATAACAAGTTGCAAGTTTGTCCAAAAAAAACGAACAATAAAATCTCACTATCCATAAGTCTTAGCGATAACCAAAATAACCCTACACCTCAAACTCTCAAGATTCAAACAGACATTTTAAATAAAAAGCCCTAAACAAATAACAAACAATGAAAAAAAATTACCTTTTAGCTCCTGTGACCGTTGGCGAACCCACCACTTCCTCCATAGGCCGGTGCCTTGACGATGACCTCAGCATGCTTCTCAACTCCAAGAAAATCCCCCATCCCGATACTCGAGAGCATCTCCATTGTCTCCTTGTCGACCTCGATCCGCTCAACCTTGATCTCCGACACGTCAGGGACGAAGTCTATCCTTCGCTCGCGCTCCTCCTCCTGCAACTTGAGCGAGATCCAATGAGTAATTAGGGCTTGATCAAGAGGAAGATCGACCAGCGTTGTTGAGCATCCCGATCAACGCCTTGCTGAAAAGGGATTAGGGCTTGCCAAAGAAATCAACAACCGATTGAAAATCAACAAGAGAGAGAGAGAGAGAGAGAGAGAGAGAGAGAGAGAGAGAGAGATCAGATCTAGGGTTTCATCAGAGAGAGATCAGATCTAGGGTTTCATCAGAGAGAGAGATCAGAGCGATCGAGAGAGGACTGCGAGTTTGAGAGAGATCGAGAGAGGATCGCGAGCTCAGAAACAAGATGAGAATTCAAAATGACACCTCCATAGTTGTTATTTATAATTCCGTGCCCATTATAGAGTTAAAAGCCCAAGGGAATTGAGCCAATTGTAGAAGTTGAAATTTTTTTGAATCCAAACACTAAAATTAGCTCAAATTCATAATTTGAAATGAAAGACTTGTAACCAAACAGGCAGTAAATTTCTTTTCACAGTATCTAAATTTCTCTTCGCACTATCTCCGTAGCATCGCACTGGTCAAATTTGCTCCAATAACGCCAAAAACGTCCGAGCACAAAGTTCCAGTCTAGCACAAGATACATCAAAAGACCCGACGCTAAAATCCTACACAGCATAAAAACATTACTCATCTCAAATGCCAATTATCTACCATCACCAGTAATCAACTGCGAGAACACCGTACTCTCACTCACCCCCGACTCCCCCTCGCCCAACCTCCGCCCAATACCCTCACCCTCTTCATGATCTCCAGCCT